CCCCTCCAAATACAGATAAGTCTTTGAACTTCCTTTTGCCCTTTAGCCCATGTCCCAACCTCCCTTTTCCTTCACAGCTCTTGTATTTGAGGGAGTGCTGATAAACCTGGGGGAAGGTGACTGGCCTGTCTCTCCAGCCCAGGGAGGAATGACAGCACCCCCAGATCTTGGATCAAACTCATTTCCTTAGGGCTCAGTTATTTTATTGAATTTTTTTTCCTTGTATTTCCAAATGTATAACTCACAAAATGAACCTCCTCCCCTGATAAAAGCAAGGTAAAGGCACCCCAAGCTTTTCTCTTTGTCTCTTTAGGAACCTTCCCTTCTCTTCACTGAACACCCTCAGGCTTTTTATAGGAACCACCCTTCCCCCTTCTAAGCTGGGTCTGATAATGGACCAGGGCTGGTCCCTAGCCCTTAGAGCAGCAGCTCTCAAACTTTTTTGCACCAGGACCCATTTGTAAATGTCAATGGCTAGTCTCGACCCAGTGCCTGACTCCAGGTCCCAGCCCGGGAGTGTGTGGGGCAGGGTAGGGTGTGTGTAGGGCATAGGAAGCCCCAAGCAGCCCCTTGCAGGCTGCAAAGGAATGGCCAATTTCCACATTTTTCTCCTTTTAAAGGAGAATCCATTTTTAAAGTTTGTTTGTGACCCTTTTATATAGTCTTGCGACCTACTTTTGGGTAATGACCCGTGGGCTGAGAGACACTGCCTTGGAGCATTGCACCTCGTGACCTCAAGACCTCACCCAGGGTGGCACTCTTTGAGGCTGGCTGAGGCAGGATTATCTGTTGGATACTGCCTATTCTTTAATGGATGATTTGTGTTTGTAACCTGGATCTTCTGTTGACTGCTTGTTAAAACAAATCATAAGGCAAGAAAGAAAATCTCATAGGTTGCCTTATTTATCTGTTGAAATGCATTGTTTAGCATTTTCCATGTATGGACTTGTATCTATGCATTGCTTTCTAAAAGCATTTGTATTGAGAGAGAGTGTCTCATTGAAAGGCTTAGGAAATCTTTTTTCTGCCTCAATACAGGTATAAAAGTAAAGCATGGAGAGTTTGTGTTAATGCACTGGTCTGATGGATGAGTGTCCTGGCCCTGCTGTTTTTAATTTGTAATGGCTTTGCAAATGCTTTTGACTTTTGAACAACCTGAAACATAAATTAAGCACTGTGACTAGCACAGTTCCTTCAGTGTGCCACGTGATAGTGACCCATGTCCTGTTCTGTTTTTCTTTTTTCTTTTCTTTTTTTTCCTCTCCAGATGAGTAAAGTCTGGAACGAACTGAAGCCGAAGCTGAGCTGCCTCTTTGTAGGACCCACCAATGTGCAGGCACCTCCATTATCATCCCCAGAGGACAATTTATTCTCTAGCTAATTCTCAGAATTGCATGGAAGAAGGTGAAGTGCGGTTAGTGGTCACCCTGCTCCTCTATCTTCAGATCTTTAAAAGATTCCTCCAAACAGCTATTTTTTTTTTTTTTAAATATTGCTGCTTCAAGCTGCTCTTTGGATTAGATGGACTGGAAACAGGGCAGCATATACAGAGAAAAAGACAGTATTTTAATCTTTCGTTCTATTTTTGAAGTGCTTTGGAGCAGGGCTGAGATTCATTTCCCCCAGCTGCCCTTTTCCTAAGGATAGGAAATGTCCTGATATACCGAGCACTGCAGGTCTTCTGTTGTAGTTGTCCTGTGCTTCTCCTACTAACTAGCCTCTTGCAGTACACATCTGCACATGTGCTGGTAAACCTCCAGGCTGCCGATTTTTATGCACAGGACTTGTGGAGAATCCACGTGTAAAATTCACTCTCTTCAGAGTACGGCCCAAGTCTAGTGGTCTTTGGAGGAGAGCTGAAGGCTAGGCCCCTGGGCCACTCATAGGCATTGGATTTTCCTTCTTGCTTGATCCAAATGCATGAAAGCTCCTGGTTGGGGATCCCAGCCTTGCTCAGTGGTGGGGGTCAGCGTGGTGCATTTAGTTTGGGGTTTTTTGTTGGTTTGGGGGGGGAGGGTTGGGGGGAGGCTAAATACTGGATGGAAGTAGGAGGGGGTCTCACGGGAGGGCATTGGGCAGTGCTTCCTCATGTGTGACAGGTTGCTGTCCAGCAAGTCTTTTAGTCACAGTTTTCCAAGAGAATCAAACTGCTACACAGAAGAATAACTGGTTTAAATGCCGATACACTCCTTAGTAGGGGAAAACTTTTTGTAGGTTGGATGAGGGGCAGCTGTTGGTGGATGTTTTTCTCTTGGGGTGGGCTGGCATCCATTCAGTGGTGCCTCTTGCATACTGGCAGCTTGAGAGGACT